ATTTTTGGATCATCTGTAGTAAATTTGATCTGTTATTCCAAGGTTTCGTACCGGGTATACTTTAGAAATAGTATGCAAAAAACAACATATTTGTATGTTCATAGAATACATAATATTCTTATGTTAAGTATACATTTTTTAGCTACAGCGTAAACTACTTCTTCTGCTTTACATTCTACAACTTTCGAAAATTTCCAACTATATATACTTACCGCAGCTTCTTCTATTATTTAATTATATCAATCCATAATTCAAAAGGTAATATATACCGGAAGTGGAGACAAATGTATTTCACACTTTTAATACGACAGGAAAAGATGAAACTGTTAACTTGTGCCGGACGTTAACCTTTATTTACATGATTTAGTCCAATTCTAAAGAGAAAAAGCGGACATTTAACAATATCTAAACAAGAGAAATGACAAATATGTGTCTTAAGCGATCGCATGTTATCAGTCTCTAAAAGGTTGTTTAAAGATTTAATATAGCTTATCATTACTTGTCCCTACAAAATGCAAACTGTTTAAAAAGGGTTTAAAACTGATCTCATTTAGTAGATAACCTTGTGTAAATGGAGTGGTTACGGTGAAGTCTTTTATTTGTATTTTCGTCTGAATGGAAAATAAATATATATAAATTTATATCACTTAGATCGATACTCTGAAATAGTTATATCGTCTAGTATGCAGAGTTAGGAAAATCTCACTTGTAACTGTAATCAATAAACTTAAATTATTGGCTGCATGTAGCTTTTCAACATAAATTAATCAAAATGAAACGAAGAAATCAACTTTATTTCTGAAAAATGATTCAATTTTTTATCCAATAAAGTTCGACAAGAAGTTATTTTTGTTAAAAAGCAGATTTCTTACCGATACTTCAAACACTGATTATTAACAAAAAAAACTATTTATATTTTTGATGTCCAAAAATAATTTTAAGTGAAATATGCATGCAAAGAACTATTTTAAAATGTGTAATATACCATTTGACGGACAGAAAAAAATATCGACCAGTCAAGTCGCGTTTTGCTTTCTCAAAATTATTATAACATGCTTAATCTGAAACGTATTATTCACGTATTGATTTAATGTCATCATCTTTTTTATTTTAAGAGATGGCCTTATCGAATATTCTGGCCCTTTTACAAATTTAAATGAAAAAAAATATGCAATGTTAGTTACTAATTTTGTCATCAATAAAGAAATATTTGAGTTATTCATTTGCCTAAAGGTTTCCAGTTTTCAATAAACAACGATATGTCAAGTTCGGGCACGAAACAGGACATGATATTAAATAGAATTAAGTGGTTAATCGGGGAAATCTATATAATAAGATATACAAAATTGTAAATAAGTTTATCAGTTGCGGCTCCGGTACAGAAATAGATATGATTTAATTGACGAAACAGCACAGGATATTAAGGTAGTAAATCTTTATACCCTTAATGCAAATCTCCGCTTTTCGAAAAATTATTCAAATAGGCAAGGCTTACTGTAAAGTGCATTGAAACTGAGGGGCATGGGTTCAAATCCCAGAAATGCAACTTTTTTTTTCCCTCTTTTTATTTCTATTTAAGGTATTAGGACCCTAATGGGCACGATCAGAACTAAAGAATTGACATCATAGGTCAGATGTATACCTTAAAGTACACCTGTATGCAAACTTTTAAACAAAGTTTACCGTACGAAAATCAAGTTATGGCCACTTTTCTGAACTCAAGCTAGGATGTTATGAGGGCCCCTTTTTAGAAATTTGAGGAAACCTTTAAATAATCTGCAATAACATTCTAATGAAAAATGTTTTCCCATGAACATGTTTGGTAAGAAACAAATAGTACCATTCAGCTTACAATCCACATAAGCAAAAGTTATGGTTTTCTACTTAAAAATTTATGAAATCTGTAATAAAAATGTTACCCTACCCCACCCATTTTACCACCATTGTCTGACCATTTTTCTACTTAGGTAGCCTAATTGCAAAAAATTCTTAAATTACCCAAATGAGTGCCTGTTTTCAAAGTTTTCGCTAAATTTTTTAAAAAAGTATATTGGTTGATCTTGTAAAATATGAAATACTTTTACCGTCTAGTTTTGATTATATTACACTTTGAAAATATCAGGTACCATATTTATGTACTAGATTTAGCATAACTTAGCCAATAAATACCTATATAAATTAAAAATTCAAAATTAAACACTTTTTTCTTTCCATATGGGACATGAGAGATACATAAATAATGTTAAAAGAAAAAAGGAAAGAAAAAAAAAGTTGACCCTTCTGGGGATTGAACCATGACCCTCATTTTCAATGTAGTTAAACAGTAATTCTAGCCTATTTGAATACTCTTCAAAGCGGAGGTAATGCATTAGGGTGCTAATACCTTAACATTATTTATGTATTTCTAAGATCCTTCATGGGAAAGAAGAAAATGTTTGATTTTAATTATATAATTATTGTAGATATTTATTGACTAAATGCCAAATTTGATAGCAAATATGGTACCAGATATTTTCAAAGTCCAATAAAATAAATATGACAAGGTGACAAGTATTTTAGTATTTGCAAATCAATTGATATACTTTTTAAAAAAATGCAAACTTTGAAACGATCCCTCATTGTGTTAGATTCAAGGGATATTTTTGAATAAGGCTTTTAAATAAAGAAATAGTAAAAATATGTGTTTAAAGTGGTAGGGTTACATTCCAAAGATATCAAAAACAATTTGTGCAGACAAAATAACTGTTCGTGTGATTATTCCCACAATTCTATTATTTGTTTCTTAAACAATTATCAAAAAGAATCATTTCTGGAAAAGAGCCCTCTTATAGCAAAGTTTAAGTTTCAGAAAAATGTCCATAACACATATTAAACAATACGTTTTTTTTCTAGGTTTGCAAACAGATGCCCATTTAGGGATATGATGTTCTTATGTTGTCAATTTTAACAGTTCCTTTTTAGTGCCCGTTACAAAAAAAGATTATTTTTTAATTATTATTTAGTTACGGTTAATCATTATTCATATCCGTACACATATACTAATTGCATAACAATTGAAAGACCGTGATTTAAAAAAAAGAGTTTTGTTAACCCATCCTGTTTTCAATTTCTGATATGCCAACTTTTAATGCAGCTCTTAATTCCTTCATTAAAGGGAAGTGTTCCTTTACTGGTGTTTTCATTTCATATGTCTACTTTAACTGTCCTTTCGTTGTCTTTAAAATTTGCTTTTTGTGTTCTTCGTACATGTTGTAAGTCCATTATTTAGACTTATACATGTAAAACCTCTAATTCAGTTTAGGTCTTTAAAAGATAACGAATCAAAGTGAATTATGTGTAGTTCCTTTTCGCTTGTGAAAACAAGAAAGGATATCAAACATTAGCAACCGTTTTTTCAAATATGTTAATGTCAAACAAAATCATTAAAAAGGAGAACATTAAGTAAGATGTGACTTTCACGTACAAACACTAGGGGCAACATTGTCGCAAAATACGTCCGTCACAAAAGCTTTTGACAGAGATGTGGGTATTATAGATATGCATATAGGAGATATGCTCTGGGCAATATCCTGACAATATCTGAATATTTAATTCTCGCTAGTGACCTTGACCATACAAATAACAAACTTGAAATTACATATGTCACACTTGTAGTAATAATAATTTATCATTTGTGTTACAATCCCTCAATAAATGATGACTAAATGATCCCTGTATACATCTTCTGTTTTATGGAATCTTTGACCTATGTGACATTGACATTGGTAGCATTATGCGTGCAATACTTGAATTATACGTGCAATAGTTAGTCTCACAATGGTGAACATTTATGCCAAGTTACATTAAATCCCCTGATGAATGTAGACGTTTTGCTCCGAGCAAGCATTTTTCAATGATCTCTAAGTCAGACCTTAACCTTTAACCTAGACACTTTGTCCATGCACACACACCACTGCTTCACATATTGTAAACATTTCTATAAAAGTTTAATTAAAATTCCTATATTTTATCATCTTAAGTGACCCTGACATTGCACATATTAACCTTAATTACACGTTTAACACACGCAGTCATGAAAAATGACAATTTATGTTTCAATCTCTCAATGAATGATGGCTAAATGGTCAGAATACACATTTTAATATTTTTATCTGATGTTTGAACCCTATGTGTGACATTGACCTTGTCCACAGGGACCTCAATATTGCATACAACACTTTGCCTACAATGGTGATCATTTTTGCAAAGTTATATTGCAATCCCTTTACGCATGTAGAAGTTTTGCGTTTTTCAATGACCTCTAAGTGTGAGCTTGACCATTAACCTAGAGACCTAGCTCATACGCGATGAAACAGGTTTTCATAGTGGTGAACATTTCTATGAAGTTTCAGTACATGTATGAGATATGCTCCGGACAAAATTTGACGCTGCCCGATTGTCCGCCCGTCAGGGGGGGGGGGTTTAAACGGGCGTAAAAAAATCTGGAATCGTGTAACCCCTCGAAAGCATAAATCACAACAAAATTACATGACATTACATACCAGTTTGATTGAGGCTGTCCATGAGGGATTATGATAAACTGTAACATCCCTCACGCCCCTAGCACCGGCTTGAGCGGTACTCAATTTCCAACTAACTGTAAGCTTTAATTTATATCACAATTAATTGGTTTAAACAACAGCTTTTGATGTTATCTAAGATTAAACTACGTAAAAAAGCGTAAAGTGAGTTTTGCATAAACATATAAGTGTGTCTTATAGGACTAGTTGTATTAAGAACATCAAAAAAATGAACTGTCTGCATCGCATATCATTCAGAATACTCTTTGGGCAAGTAAATATCTTGTATTTTAATAAAGGATCAAGGTATACCGTTGGAAATGTCGATTCTATGTATTTACAGCAATGTGACAAAAATGGAAACACTTTATAGCATTTAGACATGAATTCATTGTTTATTTAACAGCATATTTATCATGTTCAAAAAGTGAAAAATATTACCTTGTAAGAACGTCCAAAACAACAAAATTGAAAAAATGTTGTAGGCTAAGTTTGATTGAGCCAGTTCGGAAACGGTACTGGAAAATACAAGCAAACGTCCATGTTAACTTATTTCGACATTAAGCAGACAAACATCCACGTATATATATCTTAAAAATATACTTATCATTACTTTCAATTTTCCCCAATTCAAGCTAAAATATTCAAAGTGCTTTCTAATGTACTTCACGAGTAATAAAACAAAAACAATTAGGACTTTTAGGAGATTTGATAACGACCGTCATTAACTTTAAATCAACTGGCACCCGAAATCAATTAGAAAAGTAAGTCTAAAATTGAAAATAACACAAAATTTACCTTTGAATATACTAGACGAGAGTATCCAGTTAAATCAGCACGACCCTATTGCCGATCGACACATACTAATCAGAGCATAACTAAAAATATATAGATGTATGTGTGCAATATTGTAATGTAATAACCGTTTTTCGTTTTATTACTATTATCTGTACAGCTCATAATGTTTGAAGGAAGTTGAAAGGATACAAATTTAAACAGTAGGCCTGCGTAAGCTTACTTAAAGTGACCCTTAGATGGGTCTTTTTTTATTTTGGGTGCATGATATTTTTTATTTATTTTCCTGAAGAATCACAAGATACACAGTGTCAAATATCTTTATCATCTAAAATAAAGAATATTAAACATTTCATTTTAAAACAATTGTAAGAAATACTTTATGGTAGTCTTATGTTATCTATTCAATTAGTTTACAGTCTTTCACACAATTAGTCTCATTAGCATAGTCCTTTGATTTATTGTTCTCATAGGCTTGAATTCTTAGAGTGTATTGACCAATTTAAAAGCATTGAATAATAAAAATAATGCCACCTGTTGACAAACTGCACATGTGGTCACTTACTGTACATCGCAACTTTCAACCCTTACCGTTAATCTTCAGATAATGACATCAAAGTCTCCAAGGTACGAATACGGTATAAACATGCAAACAAAAAGTTTGTATTGTCTGGCAATATTGACCTGGCACTGATTTATCTTCGGGAGGTTTTGATTGGTTTACGTAATTCTTTACGATTTACCAATTACTATTAGTGATAGTAAAGTTCTCGATACTTTCATTTGCAATATTACGACCAGTTGGCCTGATGGCAAACAGGATAGCATTGCTATCATGAAGATACAAACTTGAATCCTTAATAAACTATCATTTTAATTGTTTCACTATTACCTTTTAATTAAAATCAACATTATTGGAAAAAAAAATCATTTGACTTTTTCCCTGTGTGTTTCTTTAAATCTTATAACTTTGAAATCATTCTTAGTTTCAAACCTATTATATATTCAGATTGAAACTGAAAGTCTTTAATAATTGTCACTTAGGCTATTATGGCAATTGTTGTGATATTAAATTTAAGTTATACATGAATTAGACATGTTACACATTATGCTATACTGTAAAATATATACAATTTATTACCGGGTCCGATAATAAGCGACAAAAGGTCATTGACAAATCAAATGTCTCAGGTCAAAATTGCCACACTATAGATACTGATAGTTGTTATTTAAGTTAAGTATTAACTCATACATATCCTTATGAGTTTAGATACCGCAAGTACATGAAAATTGTTACCGATTTTCAGATATTCTTTTAAGTCTCTTTCTTTCATACCTGGCAAATTTGTAACTGACTCCAGTTTTACTTTTCATATTTTTTCTACTTGAAAAAATACTCAATTTATTAAACGTATTATCTAAATCACAATCATTTTATATATTACTTGTACTTCTCTATCTTCCTGATAAATAAGATATTCCTTCTTCCCCTATCCTTCCCACTTGTATCCCAACCTTATTTTATATTTAAATGTTTGAATTAAATGAGGTGTACATCATCACGATATCAAACGTCATAATAAAGAAATTACTTTGATACAAAATTTCATCTAAAATTGCAAAGTTCTATCTCCGCTTTAAAATATTTTGGCATATTTGAGAATACCTAATAAATTGTGAGACGGGTTTGTATATAACCTTTAGTAAACTTTAAGATTCGTAAGATGATACGGATGTTTACCAACATTCAACAACGTTTTTGCAGTATATATTTATACATCCATGATAACATTGATACTGTATATTAGTGATAAATCCTTGAAATATAGACTTAATTTAGTGATTTAAAAGGACGAGAAAATAAATACATTGTTGGACAGTAAACGAATTTTGCCATGTTAATTTCCTCACCTAGTACTGTTTGCGAGGAACGCTTTTTAGAAAAAACATATAACTGCAATGCATTGTAAAAATATGATTTTTCACTATTCAAAAGGTTTTTTTCCAACATCTTTTACACTCGATTTTAACGCATTAAAACCTTTTCTAGTTTGATTACAGTAGCACAGAATAACCAACAATATGTGAATATGTGATTTAAATTATTAATACCACTTCTGCCAAAAGGTAATTTGTCTGAATAATAATAATAATAATAATAATAATATTAATATCATAAACTCATTTTAAGCTAACAGTATGCTAGCGCTTGAGTTAGGTTACGTGTACTTACCTCGATTTGAGTTTGATACGTTTGGATACCTAAAACAAATCTGAGAAATATTATAAAATGTCCAAGTAAATTTTTTTTTGTAATTTCTTTATTCTATTCTAATCTATACATATGAATACAATACAACTTAGATACACAGACCATACCACACAATATATAGATTTATTTTTACATTATCGAGATGAGATGTATTTTTGGGTTTAAAATATTAGTATATTCTGTAAGTAAAACCTATACATAGCATGTACATTATCTAAGTTTTCTGATATTGAAATAAAAAACGAAAATCCTACTGTCTAACATCAAAACTGCGCACACGGGTACATGAATACATTAAGGAAGAAGAATGCATACATGAAGCGAATCTTATAACGCGTTGACTATGATCCATTACCTAGCAGTCAATTGCTTCTCGACATGTATTATGACAGATAAATTATTTTAATGTTTGAAATAGTTAAAAAATATTGATTGCGTGCATTAGATCAAATATAGATAAAGATAAATGTCCATATAACTAAACCACTTTTAACCAATATATGTTTGTAAATGCTTTCTATCGAACTGTTTGAATTATTCTTTTTTATTGTTTCCCGTTCTATGCCTCTTATGATCGATACTATAATCCTTAGGTTGCAGAGTTTCTTAGGTAGAACCGATCCAGCCGAAACCCAACCTGACCTTTTGTTCGCATAAAAAATGTGGTGTTTTTACTTGTAAGATGAAATGGGGAAGAAAAATAATTACATATTGAATACATTACAAAACTTAATATGTTAATACTCTTGGTTTGTTAACTACACCGTCCAGACAAACCGAGTCATGTAAACCAGTAATAGGGAAATCATACCCCTCTGTTTTCGAATCAAATATAATCTTGCTAAAAATGTCTGAACAGGTGTTTTTTTCAAACAATTAGTTTCCAATGCAATGAATTCCTTATAGAACGTTTACTACAATTTTTTTTTTTTTTATTACTAAAATTGGAATACATAGAAGTATATTTTATACACATCAGTAATAGAGTAATTGCTATACCAACTAAACAACAACATAACATTTCTTTTTAATTGGATATCCTGTTAAAGTTAAAATACCAAACATTTTTACAAATAAATAAGAACATTCTTTTTATTTTGAAAAAAATAAAATTTTATAACCTCCTTCGAAATTATTAGCAATACCATTAAAATTTATTCAGACTCATTCCTATTGATAAATATGAATGGCTACGAAGTAAACAAGAAACCTGCAGCATCTGTAATATCTATCACAACAAGGGTGTCTCATAAAAGTGATTTGCTTGTCACAGCATTGTCAGAGAAAGGCGATAAATCACATGCCGAGACTCAAGTGGTGTACAGCTCTACTCATAACTGAAACATATCTTACCTTTATCTCAAACTAATTCTTGAAGTACGTTTAAATTAGTTTTTTCAAAATTATAAATTACATCTGTTTGGTGTTTGTAATTAGCATTTCAAAAACACGGACAGTAACACAAAATTGAGTTTACCAGAACAAAGTTAGCCACAACATTCGTTCCGCATAGTTGTCAAGCAGTTGACTAGTACTATTACTAATAACTTCTGTATGTGGCTGAACCCCAACGCAAGCTACAAGGCGCGATGGCTGTGGAACAGTTTTCAGGATCGATCACAGCAAAAAGCAACCTGCATCGTTTTCAAATCAAACAAGTGGTAAAGAAGGAATACACGATGGTTGCTCATAAAGGTGAATTCCAAACATAATGAAAAATTAATTTCAAGTTTTTTTCATAAATGGGACAAAGGGGGCTATACGAAAAAAAAAGGGATGGTTAGTTTGGCTACCAAAATATGCGAAGTAAACATATTATACTAATGTATTCTGGTGCAAGACCATTAATAAACATTTTCAGCCTGTGAATGTGTCGTTTCTCTTCTACCAGATGCCAACTCAATTTTCCTGTTGCAGTTTATGGAGAAAGACCAGCTTGGTTAGTTTTGCCTAGCATGTCCGTTTCAGTTTTAAAGTGAAATTATTCCCCAAATTGTATTCATAGTTTGGGGACCTCTTGTGAAAATGTGTGAGAGTAAAATCGACTATACAATACATGCACAGTGCATAAAATGGAGTGGCAGGTATTATTTACCCGCAGGTATTTTTTAC